TATCTGGGTGCCGCGCTCCCCCATTACACGGGCTGATCCCCGCTTTAAGCCCGGCGCTTCCCCGCTCCCTTCACGCGAGGAGCGTAGCGTGGCTCAGCCGCTCCGCGTCTCTCTGGACTGCAGCAGCCTGGAAAACGTGCCAATCAATCCGGCGGGTCTTGAATGGGCTTCCTCGGGGAGGGGGGCGCCTTGCATTCGCCCCCCCCCATTCTCAGCCAGGGGCCGGCAGGTGGAGGGGCAGCCCGTGGTTGGCAGAGTGCAAAGTTTTCCCTGCTGCTTTATTAATTCTGCAATTCACCCATCACTTCGAATCTTCCGGGGTTGGGCCATTCCTCCCGCTTCAAGGAAAGGGAGCACCCACACCAGGGCAGAAAAGTCAAGATGGATGCAGTCAAGGACCCCCCCTGCTCCTGCTGTGCATTCTGGGGCTTGGGTTGAGCCGTTGTGGTTCCGTCTGCCATCTGGACTACTTGGCTCATGAAACACCTGCAAGAAAACCGCCAGAGAGCCCCAAGGACCCCACAATCCTTTAGGGAGGCTTTGCTGCTGACCCCCCTGTCCAAATTGCACCAATCTCAGGAGAATCAAGAGGTTTTTAGAATTAATGAGGAAAATTGCCTGGTCCTGGCAACGCTTGATCTCCTTGGAAGGGTGCTTGACTCAGCTGTGACCCCGGGGCACATGGGCGCATGCCTGAAAATACCAAATTGGTGCCAGCAGCTGCACAGCACACATTCCCCTGGTATGCAGTGTGTGCGTGTTAAAAAGGGCAGAGTTCCATTTGCGTACTTTGTGCCTTTAAAAAAAAATGAGGTTCTGCTTCTCTTTGCAACCTTTCAAAATAATTTTGAGAAGCTGTTTATTCTCAGTAGCCCCCTCCTCAAGATTTTATGGTGCCCCTTAGTGAAAACCACATATTTTTTTTACTTAAAAGTTTAGGTTGGTTTAAGTGTAATTTGTCTTTTATTAGTTATTAAGTTGTTAATAGCCCTGTCTGTCGCTGGATTATTGATATATTAGGAAGACAATCAGCTGTCTTGAGAGGGCTTTTCTCTTCTCTAAGCATGGTTAAGTAAGCATAATTGTTTCCCCCACTTTTTGCTCCCTTCCATCCTCCGCTTTGAAAACGCCTCTCTTAATAGCCCTGGGATCTGTGCTTCTAAATTTCTTCATTAGCCATACCTGGAGAATGTCAAAAAAAATAAAAATCACCTCCCCAGAATGGAGTAGAAGCAAATCCTTGTTAAAGCCCAATAAAAAATCCTGCTGTGTAAAAATCCTGCTAAAATACCTGATATTTAGTCCCTTTGCCCACTGCTGCTGGAAAGGAAATGATTTTTGAAAATATCACTTGATTGGGTTGGATTTTTCTCTTCTTAAAAAAAAAAAGAGCTCTTGGTTGATTTGGCGGTGATAATCAACAGGAGGAGATAAAGAAGCTGTCTTAAAATTAATTCCAGATGTGGATCCCAATCAGATGGCTTTTGACAACACCGTGTTGGTACCCTCTGTAACTGTGTCTGTTAGTTGTCTGTCTGTCTGTCTGTTGTCGGTTTGACAACTGCTTCCTAGCTGTCAGCCAGGGATGGACGTCTGGATGGCGCCTGTGTCAAGGAGCTGGCACCGGGGCCCGCTGTGCGACCTCAGGGACCTGTCCCCCAGATGAATGGTGCTTTTATGAGCCGAAGTGGCGCAGGGGTTAAATGCAGCACTGCAGGCCACTTCAGCTGACTGCAGTTCGGCGGTTCAAATCTCACCGGCTCAAGGTTGACTCAGCCTTCCATCATTCCGAGGTGGGTAAAATGAGGACCCGGATTGTTGTTGGGGGCAATATGCTGACTCTGTAAACCGCTTAGAGAGGGCTGAAAGCCCTATGAAGCAGTATATAAGTCTAACTGCTATTGCTATTTCCATCCTATAATGCCCACCCATCTAGCATAGTGCTTTGCTTGTGGTCAAAAACACCCACAGGAGTTTGCAGGAAAGGAAATGGCCATCTACCACTTTTGCTCTCCAGCAACTACAGAAAGTCCTTCACTTAGGACGGCAGTTGAGCCCCAATTTTCTGTTGCTAAGTGAGACAGTTGTTAAGTGAGTTTCGCCCTATTTTACGACCTCTCTTGCCACGGTGGTTGAGTGAATCGCTGCAGTTGTTAAGCTGGTAACACGGTTGTTAAGAGGCTCCGGTTTCCCCATCGACTTTACTGGTCAGAAGGTGGCAAAACGTGACCCCGGGACACTGCGACCGTCGTAAACACGAACCCGTTACCAAAGCATCCAAATTGTGATCACATGACCAAGGGGATGCTGCAGCGATCGTAATTGTGAAAAACAATCGTTTATTTCCTGTTGTAACTTTGAACGGTTACTAATGGTCGTAAGTCTTCAGAGAGAGGCTGCCCTTTTCATACAACAGGTGTGTCTGTATCGGGCGTGAAAGGCCAGGCCCACGAGGGAAGGTCCAGTTCAGCTACTCTATTGCTAGAAGGCTTTGCGCAGGAATCTGCTCAGTTAATGGTCAGCACCTGGTTAGAATTAAGGGCCAACAGCACCGGAGGTTGGACTTAGTCCCCCTGTGGCTACGTGGGGGTTCTAGGCTGATCCCCCTTTTGGCTCCGCCACACCTTCTCCTACAGCAGTGTTTCTCAACCTTGGCCACTTGAAGATGTCCGGACTTCAACTCCCAGAATTCCCCAGCCAGCATTCGCTGGCTGGGGAATTCTGGGAGTTAAAGTCCGGACATCTTCAAGTAGCCAAGGTTGAGAAACACTGTCCTACAGTCTAATCCCCTTTTAAAGCTTTCCGGCGCTCTTGCGTTCCTACGGGTAGCCGTGAATTATTTAAAATTAGGGCTAAGGACAGCTGGCTCTCATTGTATCCCAAATCCTTTGAAGTCCGCGCAGCCCTGGCAAGCTCTGAGGCACATGAGACGCATTCGAGCCACGTTTCTAATCTTTTGCCGCTTCGTTTTGTCCCCAGGGCCTCCCCAGGTACGGAGCGCGCCAGTATCATGGAAAAGCTTTTCTTGCCTCTTCTGATGCTTGGCACCATGGCGAAAGCTCAGCACTGCCCCGGCCGTTGCATCTGCCAGAACATCTCCCCGACGCTGACCATGCTGTGCGCCAAGACGGGCCTCCTGTTTGTGCCGGCCACCATCGACCGGCGCACGGTGGAGCTGCGCCTGACGGACAACTTCATCACCGTCATCCGCCGGAAGGACTTCTCCAACATGACCAACTTGGTGCACCTCACCCTCTCGCGCAACACCATCAGCCAGATCCTGCCCTACGCCTTTGCCGACCTGCGTGCCTTACGGGCCCTCCACATGAACAGCAACCGGCTGGCCGTCCTGAAACACGAGCACTTCCGGGGACTGACCAACCTCCGGCACCTCATCCTGGGGAACAACCAGATCAGCTACATCGAGGCCTCCTGCTTCGACGAGTTCCTCTCCACCGTGGAGGACCTGGACCTCTCCTACAACAACCTGGAGGCCTTGCCCTGGGAGGCCATCGGCCAGATGGTCAGCCTCAACACCCTCACGCTGGACCACAACCTCATCGACCACATTGCGGAGGGCACTTTCTCCCAGCTGCAGAAGCTGGTCAGGCTGGACATGACCTCCAACCGGCTGCAGAAGCTGCCTCCGGACAACCTCTTCCTGAGGGCCGAAGTGCTGGCCAACGTCCGTGGGACTCACCCGTCCACCTTGACCATCAGCTTTGGAGGCAACCCGCTGCACTGCAACTGCGAGCTCCTCTGGCTGCGGAGGCTGACGCGGGAGGACGACCTGGAGACTTGCGCCTCCCCGGAACACCTGATGGACAAGTATTTTTGGTCGATACCCGAGGAGGAGTTCATCTGCGAACCGCCCCTCATCACCCGCCAGTATTCCAGCAAGGCCTTCATCATGGAAGGCCAGGGGGTCAGCCTGAAGTGCAAGGCCGTGGGGGACCCGGAACCTTCCATCCACTGGATCGCGCCCGACGGCAAACTAATCCACAACACCACCCGGGCCACCGTCTACGAGAACGGCACGCTGGACATCTTCATCACCACCTTGAAGGACAACGGGCTCTTCACCTGCATCGCCTCCAACGCGGCCGGGGAGGCCACAGCCCCCGTGGAAGTCTGCATTGTTCCTCTGCCCCTGCTGGTCAACAACACCGGCCACATGAAAGAGCCGGACCCCGGATCCTCCGACATCACCACCTCTGCCAAATCGGGCTCCAACGAAAGCAAGAATCACCAGGACAGGAAGATCCTAGCGGCGGAACTGACCTCGACTTCCGTGGTCATCCACTGGCCGTCCGAACGGCACATCCCGGGTATCCGCATGTACCAGATCCAGTACAACAGCTCCTTGGATGACTCCTTGGTCTACAGGTGAGTAAGAAGGGGCAGCCTTACAGTAAAGCCAGGCGGTCCTCGACTTACGACCACAACTGAGCCCAAAGTGTTTGTTGCTAAGCAAGTTGTTAAGTGAATCCGGCTTCCCCCATGACTTGGGTTGTTAGAAGGTCACAAAAGGGGATCATATGACCCCCGGGACACTGCGACCGTCATAAACACGAGTCAGTTGCCAAGCCTCTGAGTTTTAATCACCTGACTCTGGGGATGCTGCAATGGTCGTAAGTGTGAAAAACCAATGATACATCCCTTTTTCCACTGCCAGGGTAACTTGGCACTAAAGGAATGGTTGTAAGTCCAGGACGGCCTCTGGCTCTTTGGGTCCCGGGTGCAGGCTTCCTATCTCACCCCTCCCCAGCTGGACGGGGGTGGGGGAGAAGCCAGGGGGAGATGCCATGTTGCCACCTGTGGGATGCCCAGTTCTGCACGTCCTCCGGGTAAATCTCAGCCCTGCCAGGTGAGGGGGGGGATGGGGAGAGCTTCCGCTTGGGGTCTCAAGTGGGAGATAAGGGGAAGGAGGGGAACAAGGGTGGCTGCACCTGGAGAACTCNGCCACCTCCTAACCTCTGCCCATCCCTTGCCTTGCAGCCCCCTTCCTGAGTAGCGCCATGGAGGGCCTCCTGCTGTGTCTTCTGGTGGTCCTGGCCCACCTGGCCCGAGCTCAGCTGTGTCCCAAGCGCTGCATGTGCCAGAACCTCTCCCCCTCGCTGGCCATCCTGTGCACCAAGACGGGCCTCCTCTTCGTGCCCACCATGATCGACCGGCGGACGGTGGAGCTGCGCCTGACGGACAACTTCATCACCGTCATCCGCCGGAAGGACTTCTCCAACATGACCAGCCTGGTGCACCTCACCCTCTCGCGCAACACCATCAGCCAGATCCTGCCTTACGCCTTCGCCGACCTGCGCAGCCTGCGGGCGCTGCACCTGGACAACAACCGGCTGCTCCTGATCGGGGCCGAGCAGCTGAAGGGCCTGCCCAACCTGCGCCATCTCATCCTCAGCAACAACCAGCTGCAGGACATCTCCCCCGTGGCCTTCGACGACTTTGCCGGCACCCTGGAGGATCTGGACCTCTCTTACAACAACCTGGCGCGGGTCCCCTGGGACACCGTCCACCGCCTGCACAACGTCAACTCCCTCAGCCTGGACCACAACCTGATCGACTTCGTGCCCGAGGGCGTCTTCACCAACCTGCTCAAGCTGGCCCGCCTGGACATGACCTCCAACAAGCTGAAGAAGATCCCGCCAGACCCGCTCTTCCTCCGCATCCCGGTCTACGCCAAGTCCAAGGGCTCCCCTCCCTCCTCCCTGGTGCTCAGCCTGGGGGGGAACCCCCTGCACTGCAACTGCGAGCTGCTCTGGCTGCGCCGGCTGGCCAGGGAGGACGACCTGGAGACCTGCGCCTCGCCCCCCGACCTGCTGGGCAAGTACTTCTGGACCATCCCCGAGGAGGAGTTCATCTGCGAGCCGCCGATCATCATCCGGCACACGGAGCGCTTGGCGGTCATGGAGGGCGAGGGGGCGCTCCTCCGCTGCCGCGGGGTGGGGGACCCGGAGCCCTCCATCCACTGGGTCTCCCCCGAGGGCAAAGTGGTGGCCAACACTTCGCGGACCGTCTCCTACGACAACGGCACCCTGGAGATCCTGATTGCGGCCATCCAGGACAGCGGGGCCTTCACCTGCATCGCCTCCAATGCCGCCGGAGAAGCCACCGCCTCCGTGGAGCTGCTGGTCAACCTGCTGCCCCTGGTCTCCAACAGCACCACCCCCAAGGTGCCTGAGGCCGTGGGGCCTTCGGACATCCTGACCTCGGCCATGGCCACCCTGCCTCTGGGCGCCAACGACACGGCTGCCGCTCAGGACAAGGGCGTGGTGGCCTCGGAAATCTCCTCCTCCTCCGTCCTGATCCGCTGGTACCCCCAGTGGCACATCCCTGGCATCCGCATGTTCCAGATCCAGTACAACAGCTCCTCCGATGACACCCTGGTGTACAGGTGAGTTGGGTCGGGGCGCTTGGGGCCCCCGGTTGGCGAGGGGGGGGGGAGCGTGTGGCTGGGGGTTAGTGAGCGCCAGGGCGGGGAGTGACTTTCACAAACAAACTGGGGGCAGGAGCGGCAAGGTCAGCTCCTAGTGACCGGATGGACGACATCCGGTCTCCAGAGGTTGCGTGTCCCTCCAACGCTGGAGGTTTTGGGAGAAGAGATTGGCCTGAGAAACCATCATAAAATCCCCATCCTAGGTTGCCCAAGAGTTGGAGTGGGGTGGATAGGACAGCATTTCCTTACTCTGAGTGCACTGGCACCCCTTAAAAAGGAAACGAGGGCTTGCCCTCTGAGGACTGGGAGAGGATGATGGGCTTCCAGACCCCCAGGCCAGCTTGGAGGGAGCGGTCCGCGGCACCCGAGGGCCCCAAGAGAGGGTGGGCGGCTGTTGCTGGGCGCCTGGCTGAAGATTTCTCCAGCCTCTCCGATTCCGTCCTTCCCTTCTTGAAGGTCAGCCTCTTCCGTGCCTGGTTAGGAATGCAGACTTGACAGTGAAACGTTGGGAGAATCCCGGCGGGACGTCCGTGCCAACGCGCGGCTCCTTTTCAGCGCTGCTGCCCTCTTTCTCGAGCTGCAGATCCCAGGCTCCCAGCCTGCAAACGGGCTCCCCCCACCCCTTCCAAAGGCAGGGTAATGAATGCAAAAGGAAGGGAAGGGATGTCCAAGGGAATTTCTATCTGGATAGGAAAATCTTGGCTGTGGCTCCAGCTCCCTCTTCTTGCGGAGTGTGTATGGGGCTGGGGGGGCATAACAAGATTCAAAACCTTGTTTTCTTTCCTTTCTAAGGGTGCTGAGTAAACATGGCTGGGAATCCAGCATTTTTGAGAGGGTTTCAGGCTCCCAAGCAGCCCGATCTGATTCTGCCTCCTGGTTGGGCTGATTCCTTCCTTTTTTCCTTCCTTCTCCCAAGCAGCCCGATCTGATTCTGCCTCCTGGTTGGGCTGATTCCTTCCTTTTTTCCTTCCTTCAACCTGCTGCGTTGAAGGGATGAAATTCCTATGAAATGAAATTCCCAGCTGGCTTAAAGCTTTTCCCCCTGGGAAGCCCTGCCATTGGCTTCCATTGGGAAGGCTCCTGTCTCGAACTCAGAGCCAGAGGGGGCCGGAGGGAGGAGGAGCTCTCCCCAACATCCCCAGCCTTCTGCATTGCTAGTGGCCCCCTCTCCCTCTCCCCTGGGGACCCCCGAGTGTACCAGACCTTGGCTCCCACCTTCTCTGGGCCCCAATGTGGGTTGGGGGTCTTTTAGCCATGGGGAGCGACAGTCCCTGGTGAGGTAGGGCAAGCCAAGGCCGAGGGATGGGGCCTATGGAACTGGGAGCCCATCATCCTGTCCCGCAATTGAGCCTAGATAGAATATCCCTTGCTAAGTGAGATGTTAAGCGAGTTTTGCCCCAGTTTACAACCTTCCTCGTCAACGATTGTTAAGTGAATCACTACCCTTGTTACATTAGGTCGCAAAAAAAGGGATCGCGTGACCCCGGGGCACGGCGACCGTCATAAATATGAATCAGTCACTAAGGTTTGGAATTCTGATCACATGATCCTGGGGGGTGGGCCCAGCGGATCAAAGGGGGGCAGCGGAGGCCCTACTGGGGGGAGGGGTTGGCATTGCAAGAATGGGGGGGGCTGGGTATGAGATCCCAGATCCCACAAGAGGGTCCTTTCTCTGCCCCCTCCCTGGGCCTTTTCACACACACACACCAGCCCCTCCCCAAGCTGTGTTGCTCTCCCCCTTTGCAAAGAGGTGGGGAAGCTCCTTGGGAGGGGGGGGAAGAAGGTCTTCTGGGTGTCGCGCCCCCCCTCCCCGCCCCCTCTGGCAGCAGGCCCAGCATCCACTGCCTGCTGGCCGGGAAGAAAAGAATGTGAAGTGACCTACTTAAGATGCAGAATTGGAGTGTGTGTGTGTGTGTGTGAGTGTGTGTGTTTGTGTGTGCCTCTGTGCCTGCAGGAGAGCCAGGATGAGGGGGGGGGAATGGGGAGGGTTCTGCCTGTGGTGAGTCAGCTGGGGGCAGGGAGGGGGCAGGTGAGGGTGGGGGGAACTTGGGCTCAGCATCCCTTCAGCCAAGAGGCTCAGATTTCCCACCGATGTTGGAAGGGGGGGGGCAGGGGGCTTCGGGCTCCCTGAAATGTCACCAAGGATGGAAGGGAAGGGCCCCCATCCAAAATGGGCGAAGGGCCGGCAGGAGAGGATCCTGAGGAGGGGAGGGTCTCTTGGGGCCCTTATGGCTGCCCACGCCATCTGCAACGGCCCCCACCTGAGGCGGAGAGGAGAGGGGGGGGCTCAAGGACAAACGAAGGGGGGTGTCATGTTAACATGCAGGGCTCATTTTCTGCAGCTGACGGGGGTGGGTGGGGGGGAAGCCAGGTGGAAGAGCTGGCATGCTGGTCAGGTAGCTCTGCGAAGCCTCCGCAAAGGCTTGGCCTGTGGGTGTGGGGGGGGGTGCACTGCTCTGAAATGGGGGGGGGGAACTTTGAACGGTCGCTGGCTGAACTGTTGTAAGTCAAGGACCGNGTGTGCCAGGAGGAAAGGAGGAGAGCTGGTGACCACAAAGCATAGCTGCCCTCTGCACATGTCCCAGAGCTTTTCCTTGTCTCAAAGGCTCCTCTTGTCTTCCCTCCATGGCTTCAAATTTGGGGTTCTGCGCCCCCCACAGCTAGAAGATCTGGTCCTCCCCACACATCGCCCCCCCCAAACCTCTGTCAACGGGGCCACTTTTGAAGGCCTTGCAAGGTGGACACGGGTCCTCCCCCTCCCCTCCCCCTCCTCTTCCTCCTCCTGCAGATGGGGAGGGGGAGGTCAGGGATGGGGGAGGGGCTGGTTTCCCAGAAGGTGGGGGTGGGGTCGTTATCAACCCCCCAAGGATGGGGAGGGGGGGGGCTGCAGTCCTTCCTGGAGATGGGAAGAAGAGGGAGAGCAGGCTGCCGTTGCCTAGCAACTGGAGGATCGCTAGGCAACCACATCCGCTTCCCTTTTGCTGGGGAGGTTTTGGCCAAGGCAACCGGAAGGGCTTTTGGGGTGGCATGGAGTTGGGAAGGGCCTGGGGGGGGGGACCAGTGTCCGCCCAGCTCCCCTGGCTTTTGCAGGCTAGGAGAGCTGCACCGGGTGAAGTTCTGCCTGTCAAATAAAATAGTTCCCCTCCTCCTCGTCTCTCACGTGGAAAGCCCGATGGGCATCTTCTGACTGGCACAACTCCTGGTTTTCAAGGGTGAAGGGGCTTCCTGGGCCACTTCAGCAGCGGCAGCTCCCCCCGCTGCCCTTCAGGTGCCCGCGGGGTCTCTTCGCTTCTGGCAAAGCCCAGCAGGCCGGGCAGGGTGCCAGGCCAGCGGGATCCACGCGGCTCCTCCTTTGTACCAGGGGGGAGGTTGCCATGGCAGTTCTTGGGGGAACTGCAAGCACAGAGAGGGGTTGGGGGGGAGCCCAGCATGGATGCCAGGAAATGGAAGAGGCTGGAAATGCAGCAGGATCTTCCCTGGAGACCCCACTCGCTCGACCTTCCAAACCGAAGTTCTGGCTTTGGTTCTTGGTGGGAGGAAAGGTTGGAATCAGCTCTCTCCAAGGGAGGGAGGGAGGGGAGGAAGAGAAAGGGAGGAGGAAAGAAGGAGGAAAGGAAGGAGAGAAAGGGTGAAGGAAGGAAGGAGAAAGGGAGGAAGGAGAGAAGGGGAAGAAAGGAAGGAAAGAAAAGCTAAGAGGAGGGAGGGAGGGAGGGGAGGAAGAGAAAGGGGGAAGGAAAGAAGGAGGAAAGTAAGGAGAGAAAGGGNCCCCCCCCCCCGCCTGCAAGAGAGAGAGAGAGTTGTTGTCTCCCCGGGAGACCCCTGAGATGCCCTGGGACCCTTCCCTCCTTTGCAATCCTCCTGCCCACGGGGGCTCTGGCCTCAGGGGCCTTGGCGGGGGGGGGGTTGCCCCTGAGTCCCTGCCCCTCATCTGGGCCGTGTCCTTCACTCTCAGGGACCCTCCCGGCAGCCGGCCTCCCCCACTCTGCTTTGCGCCTGACGAAGAGGGGCTGGTCGTTGGACAGGAGCCCCCTGTGGGTCTGTTGACATTTGAGCGGCTGAGCCTCAGATCCGCTTAGCCCAGATTCTCCCGGCCTTTGAAGTCCCAGACGGTGGGAATCGTGTCACAGCCACGGGAAGCCAGACTCACAAGATGACAGAGCTGGCCCTGTTGGGGGACGTGAGCAGAATAGAGCGGCCGGATGGCCTCTGGGGAGCCCCCGGGCGGGTGGAAGCCAACACGAAAGGAGCCTCGTGGAGGATGGGCTGAGGAGGGGGGGGGGCTGGGAGGGGGCAGCTGCTTGGGTGCCTCCGTCTGGCCTTAGGGGAGCGGAGGGGACCTGAATGCCAGGTGGGCCCTTGCCCTGCGGACACTCCAGCCCCCAGGAGCCCAGGGGCACCTAGACCGGCCCCAGCCAGGGGGCGTTGCACAGGGCTGGGGGGGTCTTCCGTGCAGAAGGCAGAGCTCACGGCCCCCTCTGTGGATTGCCTTCCCTCCAGAAGCTGCGGGGGCTCCATCACTGGAGCTCCCCAAGAAGAGGTTGGAGAAGCATTGGGCCTGGAGGGCACAGGGCAGGGCCAGGACGGCCTTGATTTTCGGCTGTTTTTCGCCCTCCGGACGCTTCCCTGAAGTTTGGGAATGGACTTTCCTGAAGCCTGCAGAGAGCAAAAAATGGACCGATGCGCACACTGGAAGTCCGGAGGCTTCAGTGAGGCCTGCAGGCACTGCGTTATGGGTGTGGGAACGCACGCGACCCCCACCACACTCCCGCCGCTTTTGGCACACCTGAACAAAACGGTTAGCCATCCCTGGGCCAGGGTTAGGGGGAGGAGTTGACAGAAGCCTCAAGGTGGCGGCTGAGGAATTCTGGGAGTTGAAGTTGTGACTCTCCTGCGACAGGGTCTCCAGCGTGAGCAGGGGGCTGGACTAAGTGACCCCCCGAGGGCCCTTCCAACTCTGTGCTTCTCTCTTTCTCCCCCCCCCTGCAGAATGATCCCTCCCACCAGTAAGGGCTTCTTAATGAAGGACCTGGCCGCCGGGCGGGACTACCACCTCTGCGTCTTGGCCGTGTACAACGACGGGGTGACTTCGCTGACGGTCACCCAGAGCCTGGGCTGCCTGCAGTTCAGCACCCTGCGGGACGGCCTGCAGTGCCACTCGCTCCACACCCAGTTCCTGGGGGGCACCATGATCATCATCCTGGGGGGCATCATCGTGGCCTCGGTGCTGGTCTTCATCATCATCCTCATGATCCGCTACAAGGTCTACAGCGGCCAGGAGGAGCACAAGAAGGCCAAAGTCAGCAACGTTTACTCCCAGACCAACGGTGGCCACCCGACCCAGCCACCCGCCGGGCTGCCCTGCTTGGGCTCCAGACACGAGGGGTGGGAGGCAGACAGCGGCCGGAGTAGGAGGGAGCGCAGCCTGGCGGCGCTAAGCAAGGACTGCGAGAAAGGCGGGCGGCCCCTTTCCTCTGAGAAGGGGGGGCTGGAGGAGGAGGAGGAGGGGGTCTCGTCCCCCCGGAGGAGGAGGAGGTGGTCCCGGACGAGTCTCGACTGCCACCATGGTTGCCCCGCACCCCCAGAGGCCTCCAGAGCAGAAGAGGAAGGTAAAGTGAGGCAGGCTGCTCCTGAAATATGGCCAGTCCTCGACTTACAGCATGGCCATTTTAACTCACAAGGGCACTGGAAAAAAAGCGACCTCCGCTGGTTTTTCTCACGACCGTTGCATCCTCCTCAGCGTCACGTGGTCTGGATTCAGGCACTTGGCAACTGGTTCATACTTATGACGGTTGCAGTGTCCCCTTTTGCGACCTTCTGCCAAGCAAAGTGAATGGAGAAGCCACTGAACGACTTTGTGACCAGCGGCAGGGATTCAGCTAACAACGGTGGCCAGGAAGGTCGCAAAAGGGGGCCAAAGGAGCCAGGGTCTCACCGAACAACAAGTGAGTTTGGGACTCAGTGGTGGCCGTACGTTGAGGACTGCCTGCGGAGGAAGGAGGGGCCGTGGCACCAAAGGTTGGGTGAGCAGATTTGCGGTTAGTTGCATTCAGCCCCTGGTGGAAGAATCCTTCCTCCCTGCAGCCTTTAGGTCAGCAACCAGAAGCCCCCACCCAAATCTTGGCCCCGGGGCTTTCTGGCTCCTGTCCGGAGGTGCCAAGAGAAAAATATCTCAAGTATTGGGTGAATTGGCTCGTGATAAGGGAGGGAGGAGCCTCCCAGAGGAGAGTTTCTCCCCCTTTAAGACCTGTGGACTTCAACTCCCAGAATTCCCCAGCCAGCTTTGCACAGGCCTTAAAGCAGTGTTTCTCAACCTTGGCCACTTGAAGATGTCCGGACTTCAACTCCCAGAATTCCCCAGCCAGCGAATGCTGGCTGGGGAATTCTGGGACTTGAAGTCCGGACATCTTCAAGTGGCCAAGGTTGAGAAACACTGCCTTAAAGGTCGGCAATTGAGGCAGGGGGTTTTCCTACCTTTGCTAAGCTCCTTATCTGCCTCTTTCCCTCCCCCCTTACTTTGTGCAGACCCCCCGCTAACCCTCCCAACGGAGGAGAGGAGGAGCGCCAACGACTGGGCCGGCATCAAGATCTGAGCCCTGCCTGTCAGCCGTCGAAGAACGACCCCCCAACCGGAGCTGAGCCCCCCCAGGTAGGAGCCCCCTCTGCACCCTCCCTCCCTCCTCCAAGCACCCCACTGCCAGGAACTAGGGGACCAAAGCAGGAGGGGGGGGGGTGAAGGGCAGCTGTGCTTTGCTGTGCTGCCCCCGGGGGGGAGGGGGGATTTCACCCAGGGCCCCAAAGTGCCTACTTTGACATTGGGGGTGGGGGTCTTGCATGCTTTTAGTGCCTGGGTCCTCCGAAACACTCAAAACAGGAAGACTTGGGTCACTCGGAGAGACGGCTCCTCTTTACAACGTCTCAAAGGCAGGTCGTGAATAGACACCAGTGGCGTTTAGGATGGAACAGAGCTGGGAGGGGCCTTGGAGGTCTTCTAGTCCAGCCCCTGTGTTCAAGCAGGAGACCCTTACAGAATAACAGAGTTGGAGGGGACCTTGGAGGTCTTCTAGTCCAGCCCCTGTGTTCAAGCAGGAGACCCTTACAGAATAACAGAGTTGGAGGGGACCTTGGAGGTCTTCTAGTCCAGCCCCTGTGATGCGGTGTGCCAGGTGAACCCAGAGCTCAGAAGGAAGAAGCCGAACTCTGCCCGTCTTTCTTGCAGGCTGAATCCGGAGTTGGCGCCATTCCTCGGCTGGTGCCACAGCCCCCACAGGAGACCCAGGCGCCCCCCCCTCAGCTCGCCTGCCTCTTCGGGGGGTGGGGTCTTTGGGGGGGGGTCTCACCTCGGCCTTACGGGCATCTTTCTCCTGGACTCTCTTCAGGGCCCGTTTTCTACAAAGTCCTTTTTTTTTTCTAAGCCGCACCTGGGATTTTCTAATAAACGGAGGTGAAAATCAGGGAGGATGTTGGCACCTGGTTTCTTTCGGGGGGGCATCGTGGGCGGAGGGAGGGGGGGGCAGGAAATGCAAGGAAAATCTTCTTGGGAGAACCCTGAAGCCCTGAGGGTCGTTTCCCTGCTCAGCTCGAGGGTTTTTGCCCCCAAAATAAAACCAGCCCAGGTTTTATGGCTTGACTTATGACCGGTCAGTGAGTGAACCATTGCAACAGACCTCTCCAGGGCTATTGACACCCCAGATTCAAAGATGGCCCCTCCCCCTCAGCCATCACATGATTGAAGCACTTGGCAACCGGTCCAATTTACGGCCATTTGTAGCATCTCCCCACTGGAGACCTCCGGGGGGGGGGGCTGAGAAGCAGCTGTGTGGCTGGAAAGGCCTCTGGGAACAGCTGGAGATGTTGGGGGGAGGCCTCGGGGGGGGCCCTAGAGGGAGGCAGGGCTGGGAATCTGGGGGGGCCAGGCGGAGCTTCCTCTCAGGCCAAGAGCTGAAGCCGCCACAGTGGGCAGTGGGGCTGCTGGGTCAGTTTCCACGCTCCCCCCCACACACACTTAATGGGGGTTTTGTGAATTCATCAGCGTATGGATTTGGGCTGAGAACTCAAGGGGGCTCCTGCGGAGGGATCCCTTCTCCCAGGGCTTCGGGAAAGCAGGTCAGATCCCAGGGATCCTATTTTGTCAGCCACCCCTGAGCTTCTTCAGCCTCAGCGAGTCCCAATAATGCCCGGCCTGCTTTTCGGTCCGGCTCCCCCATGAATACGAGCCTCTTGGCTGCCATTTCCACGTCCGGCTCTCCGAATGTCCCCCTCGAGCCGATGTTTCCCTTTTCTTTTTCACCAGGACAACAAAGGTCAGGCTCGAACGGCGGCTTCAGAGGTTTTGCTGCCAGGGGCTGGTATGGAGGGTCCGCTGCCGTTTGCAAAGGCCAGAGTCCTTGAACAGCCTTCAAGGGCGGCCCCCGGGAGTAAACCCTGCAGCCCTGTGCTGCAGGAGAGGAAGGGGCTTTAGGATAAAAGAGGGGAGGAGGAGCGTCCTTCAGATGCCAATGGGTCACAGAGAATCAAGCCTTCCCGGGATCCTGAGAAGCCGCTGTCTCTGCCAGGGGGGCAGTTGCCCCACATGAGCCGTCCAGGGCCCAGAACCTCTGCTGGGGGTCCCCCTCTGGTCGAGCTCCCAAATCTGCCTACGGTAGGATTCGTGTCCCAGAGCTGCAATGCAGGAAAGATGCCGAGGACCCAGAAAGGGGGCAGAGAAGAGGGTCAGGGGATGAGGGCAGGTGGGGTCCTTGGTGGTCTCTGAGCTTGGTGGTTTTCTTGCAGACATTTCACGACCAAACTAGGGAACATCATCAGCGCCCTCAGAGGGTTGGTTCTCAGTGCGCTGCAGATGTTGCCACGTTTGGTCATGAAATGTAAGAAAACGAGTTCATAGACCACCAAGGACCCTTCATTTCTACCCCGAGCTATGAGTATTATTTTCCATTGGAACCAGGCCATGTTGAAGCCAACAAAGAGGAGAGAACTCCAAGAGCATCTTCCAGTCCTTGAAGGGCTGCCACAGGGAAGACGGCATAGATTTATTCTCCATAGCACCGGAGCGCAGGGCAAGAAAAGAGTACGAAGGGGCCTTGGAGGTCTTCTAGTCCAACCCCCCAGTTCAAGCAGGAGACCCTCTACCACACCGGATAAATGATGATCCAGTTCGCCTCCAGTGATGGAGCAACCACAACTTCTGGTGGCAAGCTGTTCCACTGGTCAATTGTCCCCACTGTCAGGAAATCTCTCCTTAGTCCCAGGTGGCTTCCCTCCTTGATGAGTTTCCACCCATTGCTTCTTGTCCTGCAGTGATGGAAGCTCCTCAGAGGGAGACCCAACTTGGAGGCTGCATGGAGGAGCTTCCTGGTGATTAAGCAGGGGGAGAGCTGGCCTGCGGGAGTTGTGGGGCCTCCATTGCTGGAGGATTTCAGGGAAAGGTTCAGGGTGGNCTTACTGAATAACAGAGTTGGAGGGAACCATGGAGGTCATCTAGTCCAGCCCCCTTGTTCACGCAGGAGACCCTTACTGAATAACAGAGTTGGAGGTGACCTTGGAGGTCATCTAGTCCAGCCCCCTTGTTCAAGCAGGAGACCCTTACAGAATAACAGAGTTGGAGGGGACCTTGGAGGTCTTCTAGTCCAGCTCCCGTGTTATGTTGTGTTATATTTTATGTCATGCCATGTCATGTTATATTGTTATGCTATATTGTTATATTGTTATGTTATGTTATATGATATATTATTTCATGTCATGTCATGTCATATTGTTATCTCATGTCATGCCATGTCATGACAAGTTATATTGTTGTGTTATGTTGTCATGTCATGTTACGTCATGTCATGTTGTTAAATTGTCATGTCATGTCATGTCATGTTATATTGTTATCTCATTTCATGTTATCTCATATTGTCATGTTATGTTATATTTTCATGTCATGTCATTTTGTTAGGTCATGCCATGCCATGTTATATTGTTATATCACGTCATGTCATGTGTTATGTTATATTATGTTATGTTATATTATGTCATGTCATGTCATGTTATATTGTTACGTTATGTTATATTATGTTATATTATTTCATGTCATGTCATGTTATATTGTTATATCAATGCATGTCATGTCAAGTCATGTTATATTGTTATGTCATGTTATGTCATGTTATGTCATGTTATGCCATGTTATGTCATGTCATATCATATTGTCATGTCATGTCCTGTCATATCAAGTCATGTCATGTTATATTGTCATGCCATACCATGTCATGTCATGTCATGTTGTTATGTTGTTATGCTTTTATGTTGTTATCTTGAACAGTGATTAAATTCAGCACTGTAGGCT